TATCTCCCTTATCACTCCCTGGGGACATGCTGCTTGAGTGTCATGGTCGCTTGAGCTTGCAGGACGTTCCAGGAGAGTTCAATTGGCTGAATCCCCCGGGATGGCATCACCTGGTAATGGGTCATGTTTTACAAGTCTACCACAAGTGATTTCTTCCAGGAGCAGTCTCATAGGATCCAAGCAATAGGGAGGGCTCCCAAATAAACCCACAACGCAGTCTCACATGAGAAAAGAGAATGGCCTGGGATGCCAGAAATGTATTGAGGGCATGGCCTCGGCTAGGAGGTGCGGAGCCGGCCGGTCCGCGGCTGCTTGAGACAGTCACTGTCATGGCGGCGGCGGCGGCGGTTGGCCGTTGGGGGCTGGGAGGAGCAGGACCCTGGCTGTCGGCGCAGCTGGAGCTGGCAGTTGCCGGGGCCAAGCGGAGGATCCGGCGCGGGGAGCGCGCCCCAGGCCGGGCGGAGCCTGCGGCTGCAGCGGGACTGCCGGGCGCGCTGGCCTCGGCGGCGTCTCCAAGAAGCAAGTGTCTGAGGCTGAGATTCGGCGGCGGCTGGGGCGGAGGTAACCGAGGGCGGCGGCGGTGGAAGCGAGGCTGCTCCTGGGGTCGGGAACCTGGGGGCTGCGGCCGGGTCGCCGACCTGACCCACCCACGCGCTTTCGAGGCGGGGACCCCGCACGGCGCGGATCCCCTCGCTCCGCGGAGGGCCAGGCGGGGGCGGGATCGGCGCGCGGGTCGGGGGCGCAGAGCGGGGCAGAGAGGGAGCGCGGATTCGGAGGCGACCCCTCGGCCGGGATTGGCAAGGACGTGGGGCACCCCTCCCCCTTCGAAAGACACACCCCAATCTCAGGGCGGGGCGGGCTGCCGAGGATTTCCCAGCCTCTTCGAGGGAAGACCTCCCGGAGGAGGCTGCACCTCGATCTGGGGGCCCCCCTCCCCGCTCCCCAGCTCCGAGGTGGCCCCCTGTGGCTCGGTGGGGCTGCTGAAACGGAGGCGACTCTGTCGCCGGGAATCCCGGAATTCCTTTTGTCTATCAGCCGAAACCAGCGGCCGGAACTGTAGGCAAACACCCACCGGCGCTGGAGCACTCCACTCCTTCTCCCTTTCTGCCCCGGGAGGAGTTCTCCCCGGCCGCCTCTCCTCCGTCCGCGGGAGTCGCTGGCACTCCTCACCCCCCATCCCGAACCCTCATCTTTGGCACCGAGCAAGGAAAGATTCACGTTGTACCTGTGTTTGGATTTATCATGCGTGTGAGATCATCCCCCTCCGCCCCTATTTTCTTTTTTTTTTTTAACCCTTTGCCATCCAGCCTCCTCCCTGGGAATCATTCCCCTAGATTTTGCAAACTATCAACAAAGAAGTGTGGCTAGTGGAGTAAACAGAGTCCTTGACTGGCTGGGCTGTGCAAGTTAAGAGCTTCCTTCGCTGGTGCCGTTCTAACCAAGCTAGTGGAACGATCTCTTTGGCTTGGCTTAAGGATGTTACTCTATGTGCACGTTGTCTCTCCCCCCCCCCCCCAACCCTTTTACAAATCTAGGGTAACGATTAAAATGTAGCTCTTTGGGAAGCGTGACCGTAGTGGAAGAAAAATACAGAAAGAAAAATGTAATCATTATTTTAGGGTAATTGTCCAACTTTTTGAAAGTGCCAAAAATGAAAATACGGATTTTGGGGATTAACTGGTAAATTGTATCCTTTGATAAGTAAGCTTTTAACATATATTTTTGCACGAAAATATTTTTGTTTTATTTCAGTTACTTGTGGAAATTGTTGATTACCTGGACACCTTATAAGAGGAACCTGTGAACAGGTTCATTAAGAATCTGTCTTGAAAAATGCATTTTATGAATGCTTTGAAATAAGAGGTGTGAACAGTGGCCTGTCATATAAGAGACCACAATCTACACAGTTGTGACCCTGTGCCTGAAAGTGGCAGGATCTGGTAGTTTGAGGGGCTATCCTTGAACAAGAAGTGTAGAGCTACCTACCTACTGTATAAATACAATCTCTGATGACATTTACTATAATGGACACCTTTTCTGATCTGGTTCTCAGATACAGAATTAACAGTTTGAATCTGGAGAAGCATTTTGTACAAATGGAAAGATTGGGCTTTCTCTTTCGTTTTCCAGATGTATTGTCTCATCTGCATACTTGAAGGATCTACAATCACGTAAACTCGCTTGTAACCATGGAGCCATGTGACCCATCAAGATATAGAAAAAGTGCTGCTGAGCTTGGGAACCAGGCACTTGTTCACCAGTTCAACAATTAAACTAATATATCTCTGCTGATAATCAAGAATAAAGAGCCAAGTAAAAGTCATGCACATTCTATTGACAAATGGACTCTGTGGCTGTTGAATTTTGCTGTAACTGGTTACTCTGTCATTCAAAGTCAACTTACTCTGCCAGTTATGTCCTAGTGGATGTAGAGACCCGTGTTGATGTATTCTGATGTTAGCAAATGTTGAAGATAAGAAACCTACTATGACTAATCCTTGGGAAGAGAAAGTCTGCAAAATGGCTCAAACGAGTTTACTGCAGGGGAAGCAGTTTTACTGTAGGGAGTGGGTTTTCCACAAGCTTCAGCATTGCCTCCAGGAGAAAACTAACTGCTGCAACAGCACTGTCAACACCCCACCCCTCTTAGTGAATTCTGGGAGCAATGCTAGTGTTGTCTGTGGAAAAGGCGCTGCCTGGGGTGTGTTGTTGGTAGGAGGGCCTGGCAGTGGCAAGACAGCCCTATGTACTGAGCTCTTGTGGCCAAGTTCACCTACAGGCTTGCAGAGAGGTTTACATCGCCAGGCTTTGGCCTTCCATTTCTGCAAAGCCCAGGACTCTGACACGCTGTGTGTTGGAGGGTTTATTAGAGGTCTTGTTGCCCAGATCTGCCACAGTGGGCTACTCCAAGGATATGAGGACAAGCTGAGGGACCCAGCCATCCAGAGCCTCTTACAGCCCGGGGAATGTGAGAGGAACCCAGCTGAAGCATTTAAAAGGTAACAAGAATGACATGGTGTTCTAGTTTCTATGCAAAAATGAAAATTAAATTTTTTAGATTATCCTAGTTTTTTATAAAAAACTTTGTGGAGTACCTGTACTTCTGCTGTAAATTTGGGGATGATCTGTGGTTGTGAGTGAACATGCTTATTTGAATATTGAAGGAAACGAAATTTAAGCTCTGTTTGCACAGGCTATGGATTAAAAATGTCTATAACAGAATTTGAAGCACTGTAGAAACATTGTTTTTCAAATGTATGCCAAATATTTGCTTTTCTAATATTACTTATAATCGGTAAGGGATATCTGTTCTTCTGTAGTGAAGAACATTCAGCTACTTGTAGTGAAGAACGTATAGCTGCTTGGAAACTGGGCTGCATTTTTAGGAAGGGCAAACTATACCTGGTCCTGAGTTTAGAGGAATTCTCAGCATAGAATCTACCGTCTTCTTTGTTTACAGTATTATTCCTTTAAATAAGAAAAGTTCTCTTTGAAAGAGACCATTGAGAATCTGAAGAAAATTTGCTAGTATGTTTTGCAAGTAAATGAAAAGTTGACTGATGAAATATGTGATCTTTATAAAATAATGGAAATTTGTCGTCATTTTTAGTACTTTTAGAGAATGATACAAAAAAACAATTTTAAGTTGTTTTTCAGAGTGGTTCCAGATCCAAAATGTGTTTTAAAAAAATGATTACTTGAAAATGTTTTGCATATCACTCCTCTACTCATTGTAAAAGAAGGAGGCAAATAGTTATTCTGTGCTTGCTGTTATTGCCTCCCTGCTGCCTTAGTCATTTTGTCATATACTTTTATCACCTACACAATAAGTAGTTCTTAGCTGGCAAAAGTTTGTTTCCCAAAGACAGGTATACTCTGCACTGAAGGTTAGTGCGTGTGTGTCCCGAGTCATTTGAGCAGGCTTTGAATTGCTGTGAAAGTGATTTTGTTCTTTTGATGTCCTCAGATCTAATGGTATGAAATCTATTGAAAATCATAATAGTAGCAAGCACTTTGTGTGAGTCGTTGTTTAAGTGCTATACCAGTATTAAATCATTTAATCTTCATAACAGCCCTGTGAGGTAGATAGTTATTAGTCCCACTTCATAGATAAGGAAACTGAGGCACAGCCTAAGTAACTTGTCCAAGGTTACAGGCTAGTAAAGGGCAGAGCTGGGCTATGAAAGACGAGTGTATGTGTACAGGTTTGTAATCATAGACATCCTTTGGAGGACTTACGGGAAGAGAAATAGGTTTGAAGTTTGTGGAGAATGGATGTTTGTCACAGTTGTGGTTTGAGTGCAGTTTTCAGATTACCCATATACGTGATCAGTGGTTAGTCTGGAATGATCATTATGAATAGAGGCACACAGTTCCAACAGGTGAGGGGTTTATGAAATTCAGCCAAAGGGTTGTATCTTTGAGAAGTGTGATATTCTTGTAGACCTTTTAATGCATAAGTGGCATCCAATCAAATCTATTATCTTTTGCTGTTAGCAAAGTCTGGGTTAAAACTATTATATCATTCATAAACCAATGAGGAAATCTGCTAGCACAAATATGAGATGCCAGGTTTGATGGATAATGTTTAACATGGACTCACTATGTCCATATGGAATCAATAATGTAGGCTTTAATATAAAACTTTACTTAAGAGACTTCAAGCCTCTGTACACAAATAACTCTTCTCTTGACTTAATGCTTTTTCTATCACTAGTTGAAGAGCTGAATTTGCATCTCATGTAAGTCATTTCATAAGCTATTTGGATTTATTGACACCTTAGAAAATCAGTTTTAGAGTATAGTCTAACTAAATGTAACTTAGCCTAACTAAATATGTACTTTATTTTATTGGAATTCATATTAAATTTCTAATACTTTTAAATATTTGAAATCATGTCTGATAACTGTATATTTTTATATATTCTGATCCTGAGCAAATCTTTATAGTATCATAGATTTTCCTGAAAAAGATCCTTCTACTCAGAGGATCCTCTTATTTTCGTTTTCCTGTGTGAATTTTAGTGTTTAGCTAATTGGAGAGAAATAAGAAGCAACTGGAGCTGTGTGTAAAGTCCACACCAGTACGGATTATCTGATTGGCCGAAGGAGCTAATGAACACTTTGTATTCCCAGTCTGTATTTTGGTAGAGAAAACCTAGTGTTTCTACTTGGGCCGTTGTGATGCTCTAACTTAATCTCCTACTAGATCTTTCAGAAACCTGAGTCACTTTTTTTTTTATCATAAAGTAATCAATCATTCAATAAATTAGGTAATTTTGGTATTGGAACAACTGTTTCTGATAATTCATTAGATATATACTTCCTCTATGATTGGGAGGCTGTAATATAACCATAGTCAAATATAAACATGAGAACACAATTCAAAGTGAAAAGAAATATTTTTGCATAGTCTATGGCATTAGATGGTTGTAGGCCTCTACTTTTGGACAAATAGTCAAGGTTTTATTGTAGGTTTGGTTAGTGACTGCAACTGACTTGTTAAATAGGTCCTTTAGAGAATTTTAATCGGAATGTATGTTATTTAGGCTGGATAGAGGTAATTCAACAAGTAGACAATGGGCAGAAGATCGTTTGATCATTGTTCTCAAGGAGTTAACAGTATTTTGTGGGAGATGGAGATCAAAGTAGCTAAATATAAGAGAAGGATAGAGGCACCTGAGTTAGGGAATGAGGGGGTGGGGCAGTGGTTTTGGGTCCTGTGCCTGGTTTAGAAGCACAAGTGAAGATGGTTATTTAATTCATTCAACCATAAACTCCTTTTTGAACCTGCTGTCCCTACTGTCATGCCTTGAAGCCAAGGGTCTTTTTGGAGATCATATGTATGTGTCCTAACTTTTATTTGTTTAACAATCTGCAAGACCAGGTGTGAGTTTTCTGTGTATGATGTCAGTTTTCCCCTGTTGAGTAAAAGATTGTGCTCTGTGTGATGATAGGAATGGCTTGTTAGGATAAGAAACTGGAAGTCTGAACTCTGACAATTTGTTTTTTATCTTGAACAGGAATCCTTAGATGGTGTAATCTTTTTTCTATTCATCTCCTTCTCCTTGAACATTTATAATTATTCACGCATATCTCTTTAGATTTTAACTTTTTTTGTAGTTATTTATGCATGTATCTTCTGTTATCTCCTCTATTTGGCATATGCTTCTTCATGACATTATTTATGACTGATTAATTTTTTATATTTACCATTGTGCTTTGAACAGCACTTTTCATATAGTAATTGCTAAATGATTATCATTTGAATGACTGAATAATGCTACTTACCTATCTAGAATATGTTTGAATCTAATTGAAGGACAGCTGAAGTTCTTGCATATGAAAGGAAATTGAAATGTTTTATCACTTAGGTCAGTTTTCAGTGCAGACCAGAGTGGTGTGGTGATTATTAATTTATTGACCTGCTGTCTGTTCCTTAGCACGTGTGTATATGGCATTGTTCCAGATAGTTTTAAGTGGCCAGATGTCTATCTTCTGTCTCTACTGGCTCCAGGTATTTTTGGCAAACTCAATAAAAGGATGAAGAACAGAATGGGACTAGAAAGGGTGCTTCCTTCTTACCCTCACTAGTGGGGTATTTTCAAGGCAAAAATATTCCCTTTTTATTATCTGCCTCATATAACTAATACTATTTACGATAACTGTTATCCACTCTTAAAATAATGTCAGATTAAAAGATCTTGTGAAAGTGTCTTTACTGTTCACATTTTGAATAAAATAAATGAATAAATATAATTTTCATAATCAAATTTCCTTTAGTCTAAGATGGTCACTTTTCAGTGAAATGTCTGTTGTTTCCAACATTTAACTGTTATACTTATTTTAAGATGGACTTCCATTCATTCAGACTCTTCTTTCTCTTCCTAAAATCTTCCCTTTCTTCCTTGGATGGGCTTTCTCTTTTATGCTTCATGTCTAAGTGCTGTTTCCTTTGGTCCCTGGTACTCTATCATTTGCTGAACCAGTCCTCAACCTTTATTAATCACTTCTGCATTATAATGGCACAACATATTGCTCCATGCTTATACCATGTAATGTTAGCCACATTCTTAGTTCTGCTTGGCCATGCTTTTATTTGTGTACTTCTCAATAACTCAGATTTTTTTTTAGACCAGAGAGAGTAAAGTGGTGCCCTACAGGGTGAATATGTTTTTTACCCAATTCAGGAAATTTCACACACATATCCAGCTTTTTGTTTTTTCTTGAAAAAAAAAAGGAAATTTTGACAATATTAGGCTCTAATTTCTTTGGAGCAATAATCTGGTTGAGCTGAGTTAGCTGCTGTCTGTAGATGGGCTTACACACTGATTTGATCCAGTCGTCCCTCCTCACCCCTATCATTCTATCCAAGACCATTTCATTTGTTTACTGTGCCAGCCTGGCTCCGGTAGGCATTTTCAAATATGAATATGTTTCCTATTCCTTTGAAAAAAAAAAGAAACACTATATTTTATCTCCCCCTAAATATGCCTTCATGTTATCACAAATTTGTGTATACAAGTGCTTCTTCCCTATCACCTTGCTTCCTAACTTACTGAGACCTGACCTCTGTCTACATATGCACAGAAAGTTATTTAGGTAAAGTAGCTTCTGAACTCACTGCTCTATCTTTAGCCTTAGATGGCATGTTTTAGAACAATATTTCATTATCTGTACTTTGTTCCTTTCAGAATCCCCTCTCCAGCTGTGTTCTTTGGTGGCTGTTCCTCTGGATTATACCTGGATGTTTACCCAGCAAAACTTACTTAGATCTTCTCTCCTCATACTCATTCCTTTAAATATTGTATTTACTTACATGGATACCAATGCTTGTATCTATTAAGATAGCAACCAAAGCTGCATCAACAGCTTTTATCTTCACTCTGATCAATATATATCTTTTTACTGGAGTGTCCCTCAAGTACCTTCCAGTGTTCAAATCAGCATCTCTTTCAGCATTTCTGTTCATTGACTCATTCATTCATTGCTTAAATAA